TGTGCATGCGTGTGGGTCCCGCGTGCATGCATATGGGTCCCTTGTGCATGTGTGTTTATCATGTGTGTGTCCTGTGCGCATCTATGTGGTCCCATGTGTCCTGTGTGCATGTTTGTCCCGTGTACATGTGTGCTCGTAAACCATGCGTGATGCTGACCTGTTGGCTCTGCCCGGTGTGACCCCGCATCACTTGCCCACTTTCCTCCTGTGAGTCCAGGGACCCCGTCCTGGCCTGGGGTGTCCGGTCCATGTCGCGCAGGGGGTGTGGGGCCGAGTCCCAGCTCCTCTGACAGACGGGGTTGCAGCCCCAGCTCATGCTTTTAGAGGTGGGAGGACGTGTCTTTTTACAAATGCAACATGCACGCTCACTTTTAAAACGATGTTTGTTTTGTTGCAACTAAAAACCATGGAACGTTGTAGAGAATTCCCAGCAACTCCACAACGGAGGGAAAATAGCACAACTACCTCTTCTGGCCCATGACACGGGGTTCCCGTCGTGGTAAAATCAGTCAGTTAATTTCACCGGGAACGAGACAGTCCTGGGTGCCTCTTATTCTGCTCGTTCGTTTTCTTTTCTCTCATGATCAGCACCTCCTGAACGACTCCTAACAGCCGAGAGCCCGGGCTTTTCTGGGAAACAGGCTCCTCCCTCCTGTCCAGGGAACGGGGCCTGGCCGCGGGCAGCGCTGTGTGGAGAGGGAGCAGAACGGGGAGAACGCGGCTGCCGTTCCCACAGGCCGCGAGGGCGAGCGAGCAGACGCCTCCTGCTGCTGGGAGGGCGGCTGCTCTCAGGTCACAACTTCATTGTGTCTTTCAGTCTCTAGCCTCTCCCTGGCGTCACTGACCACGGGCGACAGCGAGAGCGTGCAGTCCGGCAAGAGGACGCCCAGGTAATCTACCCGTCTGTCTGTCTGTCTGTCTGTCCATCCGACTGTCCGAGGGAGGGCTTCCGTCTCGCAGGATGAAGTCGTCCTGGCCGTTAGCTCTCAGGCTTTGCTGACTAGGATAGAGTGGTTAGGACGTGTGTACAGAGGGTCTGTTCACCTTTCAGCGAACAGAGCCTAGAACTAGTGACATTGATAAGACACTTCTATAAGCTACAGACGTCAGCAATGATCGCTGACGGGGTCGTGGCAAAGCCACGGGCGGTGGAACCGAAAGGCGCCAGCCTCGAGCTGTTTCCTGCCAAATACAAAGTGTCCCCCCCCGGGGTCGGCCCAGAGCAGCTGCCATGGGCACAGGGCTCCCCTGCCCTCTCCCCGTCACCTTATTCCCAACGCCCAGAGCAGCTGCTGAGGGCACAGGGCTCCCTTGCCCTCTCCCCGTCACCTTATTCCCAACCCCCAGAGCAGCAGGCCTCGTGCCGTCAGCCTCGGTGTAGCCATCCTGTTGTGTGAGTGGCGTTTCCACAGGGAGCCGTTCACTCCCTCGGTGGTGCCCACGGGTGCTCTGCCGGGGCCTGGGAGGCAGGCCCAGCGTGTGCTCTCAGTCGCTGGGCGGTGGCGGTGGAGCGCTCACGGGTCCCTCTGGCCACGCCCTCTTTGTGTCGAGACGTAACCATGGGTCCTTGCTCCAGGTCGGAGTCCGTGGAGGGCTTCCTGTCCCCGAGCCGCTGCGGCAGTCGGAACGGAGAGAAGGACTGGGAGAACGCGTCCACCACGTCCTCGGTGGCCTCGGGGACAGAGTACACAGGTGGGCGCGGCTGTGCCTTCACGGGCCGAGAGGACAGACTCCACGCGGAGCTTCCAGCTCATCCGGTCCAAATGCAGAGGCTCTGGCCGAGCCTGTGGGTGCAGGGGTCAGTCTCAGGCTGCAGGTCCGCTCGGGAGGGCGTGACTGGACCAGATGAGCTGAGACAAATCTCCGAGTGAAACTGCATCCTCTGGCCGTTTCTGGGCTGTAATTGGGCCAGAAGACTTCAGTCTGTAGACTGTGCGGCTTTAAAACCATTCATCGGGCCAGGCGGGCGCCCAGCATATGTGTCCCTCGGGCCCTCCCAGCCCCGGGCCGTGTAGGCGCCGCTGGGACCCAGGCTTCACGGGTGGGAAACGGAGCGGGAGGAAGAGAGCGGGGAGGGGTGTGGCCGCTGGCAGGTGAGGGGAAGGCACCGTCCAGGTGGGACCTGCAGTGGAGTTGGAGCTGCCGCCGCCCCCGTGCGTGGGACCCGGTGCCCAGGGCCGGGTGCGCCTGTGTGGGGCCCGTAGTCTGGCCGGGTGCGCCTGTGTGGGGCCCGTGGTCTGGCCGGGTGCCGTGGGAGCGCTGATGGCACCTCCGCCTGGGGAAGGTCACTCACTGTCGTGACATCCTCCCGCAGGACCAAAGCTCTACAAGGAGCCCAGCGCCAAGTCCAACAAGCACATCATCCAGAACGCGCTGGCGCACTGCTGCCTGGCGGGCAAGGTGAACGAGGGCCAGAAGAAGCGGATCCTCGAGGTGAGCGGGCGCCGAGCGGGCTGCAGCGGGAGGGCGGGCGCGCCCCGGCTCCATCGAGGGCACAGCCTCCTGGCTCTCACCTTCCACACGGAAGACCCGTGACTGCGCGTGACCGCGAGGCTGCGTGCACCGCACGTGGGCCCCGCACGGCGGGGACGGTCGGAAATTACAGTTTGTTGCCCAGATCCACTCAGTCGTGCTCATGAACGCAGATCACGTCGTTTCCAAATGCAGCTGCTCTGTGAGGAGACACAGGCTGGGGGGGCGGCTCCTGAGACAGGACTGGCCGCTCTACGTGGCATCATCCAGGCAGCCAGCAGCGCCTCAGCGTGAGGTGGTGGCACCGCCTCGCTCTTGTAACGGGTGTGGTGCTCTGGCTTTTAAGGATTTATATTTGATTAAATGTCATCAGATTTGACTAAGAAACGCCCTGCAGTTCCTGCAGTTACTCGGCGGCATGTGCGAGGGTTTTCACTGTGTCGTGTGCGGCTTGTTCGCAGGAAATGGAGAAGTCGGATGCGAACAACTTCCTGATCCTCTTCCGGGACTCGGGCTGCCAGTTCCGGTCTCTGTACACCTACTGTCCGGAGACGGAGGACATCGCCAAGCTGACCGGCATCGGCCCCAAGTCCATCAGCAAGAAGATGATCGAGGGCCTTTACAAATACAACTCCGACAGGAAGCAGTTCAGCCACATTCCAGCGAAGACGCTGTCGGCCAGCGTGGACGCCATCACCATCCACAGCCACCTGTGGCAGAGCAAGCGGCCCGTGACGCCCAAGAAGCTGCTGCCCACGAAGGCGTAGGGTCGGGGTTCCCTCCGGGACGTTCGTGGGGACCGCCGCCGCCTCCTGCCTGGGGAGCCTCCCTGATCGCCAGCGCACTCGTGTTCGCTGCACTGGGCGAGGCTGCTGCCGGCCGCTGGCGCTCCACCGGGCGGGGGCGGGTTCTCCTCGCCGGTGGTGCCCATGGCGACGGACGCCGGGTCAGGTGGAGGGCGTGGCCGACCGGCGCGGGCCAGGGGCACGGAGCCCGCCTCACACTGTTGGACTGAAGGGGAAGACGGCGAGGGTACAGAATATGGGTTTATCTGTTGCTTTTTTAACACTTTCCATGTATGTGCTTGTCCTCATGTTTATTTTGATGCCTTTCTCTCCGTGGGGTTTATTCCGAGGTCCCCGTGTTGTGTCCCGTGGGGATCACGGAGGGAGGTGGCCGCGCAGGCCGCCCGCCTTCCTGTGACGCGCGGGGCCCTGGTGTTGGTCTGACGGGACCTCCTGTTTCCTGGTGTCGGAGCGTCGGAGCCGCAGTAAGCGTGCCGGCCTGTGTTTCTCACTCACTAGTATTAACGTCTCGGCTCGCGGGGGTGTGGGAGCTGCTGGGGTTCGCGGAGCCCCCGGAGCTCGGCCAGGAGCACGTTGCGGGTTAATCAGTGTTGTCTGCTTCCCGCCCGAGGGCCGGTCGCCTGAGCTGGGGCGGGGGCGGCTCTTTTCCTCATTTTATTTATAACTGACACCCAAACTCTATTAGAACTTACACATGTACAAAGGGCTACACTTTAATTTTAAAACAGCTTCCATGACTTTGCTTACGTTGAGTTTTTGTTCTCCTGTATCCCATCCGAGAGGGCGGCTCAGAGCGAGCGCACACGTGCCGTGGGCGGGGCTGTCCCCGACGGCCTGTGCCGGGCTCCTGGGAGCCTCGTTCTCAGGAAGATGCGGGCGATCATGGGACCCAGGTGATCATGGGACCGGGCGCGGGTGGGTGCGGTAGCCGTGGGCCTTGGGGAGCCTAGGGGAGCGTCAGCGTGTCAGACGGGAGGGTAGAGGCTCACGGGCAGGCGTTTCTCACTGAGTCGTTAGAGTCGCTGGCATCTCCTGTGATGCACGTACTTGGAGAGACAGGAGGGACGATGTCGGACGGGGCTTTCCCGTCGTCCCAGGCCCTTTGGGCATCCGCGCCTCTGAGTTCCCGACGCTCTCAATGCTGTCGATATCGTCCTGTAATTTATGTCCTTATATTTATGTATATTTGTTAAAACTGTAAAAAATTCACAGATTTTTTCCCAATATCTGTGCAAGATGTATGTGTAGCTCAAACTACTCGTGACCTGCTGTCTGCATGTGAGAGGGGCCGTGTGGCTCTCGTGTTGTAAGTGGATACACGCCGTGTGTAACATGCGCATTAAAACGGGGAAATGCACACGTTACCGTTCAGTCTGTCACGTTAGGGGACGGTTATCAAATGGCGTTTAGATTAAGGCTGGCTTAAAAAGGAGTAAATAAACCGAATTAGAATGTGGCAAATAGTCACCAAAAAGAGAATTAGTGAGCATCGTACGTAACTACATTTGGTCTTTTTTTTTTTTTACGTATTTTTATTGGTTTCAGAGAGGAAGGGAGAGGGAGAGAGAAACATCATGGATCGGCTGCCTCCTGCAGGCCCCGCACTGGGGATGGAGCCCGCAACCTGGGCATGTGCCCTGACCAAGAATCGAACCCAGGACCCTTTGGTCTGCAGGCCGACGCTCTATCCACGGAGCCAAGCCGGCCAGGGCTACATTTGGTCTCTTAAACCAGGTGTGGCTTCCGCCGCGTCTTCCTCATGTCTCCAGGACATTAAATTTTCAACAACTGGACGTAGGTCCATGGGGCAGAGTCACGGCCAAGAGCCGCCCGCTGGTCCCCCGTGTGCGTGGGTCCCGCAGCCGCCGCCTCTAAAGGTAGCGTGTGATGTCGCCGCAACAGCCCGCCACCCTCAGTGTAGCACCTGCTTCCTTAATGGCGCAGCCGTTTTTAAAAATCACGTCTGAAGGGTTCGATGCAGCTCATGGGCTTGTCGGTCCTGGGGGTTCCCAGCGACCCGCTGGCTGACACACACCGAGGTCAGGCGCCCGCGACGATCGCTCAGGTGCACCTGCCGCGCTCTGGAGCCTTCTGCCCTCGCGGCCCGGGGGTGGGGGTGGGGGGGACTGTCAGGGTGTCCTCTGGCCCCTGAGAGCCGGGCCAGCCTTTCCGGGGGACTTCCTGGCGCCGCCCACCTGCCTACGGACGCACGGCCCCGCCCAGTGTGGCTCTCCTCGCCCGAATAAACGCATGGCACCCGAGACCTGTGTCCTGAGTGAGATGTGGGGTCTGTCTGTGACACTATCCGGACTTGGGTGACTCGTCAAGTAGTTCTCCCGTCTCAGCCTGCCAGCCCCCAGCCGTGTGTGTGTGTGTGTGTGTGTGTGTGTGTGTGTGTGTGACGCCATGGGAGAGCCGTGGGCGTCCTGGTCGAGGAGTGACCCCAGACGGGAGGGGTGCGTCCTTTCCAAGCAGATCCTGGGCCTTTACGTCTGGGACCCCTTAGCGCCGACCCTGGGCCTCTGAGGGGCTGGCTCTTGGTGCCACCGGCTCCTGCCCGCCAGGGGCCACGAGGGGGTGGGGGCAGGTGAGGCCCCGAGGCCACACAGCTGCAGCCCCGGCTTTCACTCTGAGTCACCCGGGGGCTGTGCTCACGTCGGAGACCCTCCCTTCCCCTCCCAGCGCCTGTGCGGTGGCTGCCAGGGTCTGAAAGAAATGAGTGTCTGCAACATCTCCACGGCTTCAGGCATCCAGGGCGGGACCCTCCCTGGTGCCCGCCAGGCCTTCACACACACACATGCACACACAGATACATGCGCGCACACAGATACACGCATGTGGATGCACACAGACACAGCCGCCACCTGCCGCGGGCTGTGTGGTCTGCGGGAAACCCCATCATGGTGGCCGCTCGGTCACAGTGGCTCCCCGGCCCCAGGTCAGTGTTTCCCCCGAGAGAGAGTGGCCCCATGAGGGGAGGTGGCTTTGCTCGGGCCCCAGTCACTGTCCACCAACAGCAACTGAATTGGCAGCCGTCTGTCCTTCAGCCCGGGACCCCAGGCCTAGTGAACTGTGCGACTCCTAAGCCACTGGCCGACCACCCACTGTGTGCAGAGGAAAGCGACCACCCACTGTGTGCAGAGGAAAGCGACTGCCCACTGTGTGCAGAGAAAACGTGTGTCCTGGAGGCGGGAGCAACGGGCGGGAGCAACCAGCGATGCTGGTTCCCACCCAGACCCCGCCCAGGACGGGGCTCCCACGGCGGCTGCACCCTCACGGCGCCCACCAGGCAGACGTGGAAACAGGCCGGTTATCAAGCTGATGTGAAGCCAGACTGGTCACTAATGTTCTGATGCAGACACGGGCCCTACAGACACAAGGGCACAGCGGGGTCGGTTCCCAGGATCGCTTGAACTTTTATTTGTCCGTGGCCGTTGCTAGTCAGTGTTATTTGATGTCAGTTTCCAGTACAGCATGTGCTTTGCATCGAATGGTCCTGGGAAAGTTCGAGAGAAACCTGGAAAGAAGAAAGACTGCACTCTAGGGAGATGGGGGAGCTGGCAGACTTGTTTTCTAATAAGAACAGAAGTGACTGCTTCTAGATCAGCAAAGAGGAAGGAACATTTTTAACCTCGGAAATTGCTGAGACCAACAAACGGGGCTACACGACAATGGAAACCTAAAGACGGTGAAAATGGCTGAGAAAAAAGCCGGGGAAATATCTGAACCCGATGGGGCCCTGATTTAGCCTCAACAGTGAGCTCACACACACGGACCTGTACACACATGGTCACGCCAGACAGACGTGTGAAGGGCGCGAT